AGAGATCCACCTTCCTCTGCCTCCCGAGTGCTGAGGTTAAAGGTGGGCACCACTCTGCCTGGAGTGGCCCTTCTCCCCTCACCTCTTGAATGCTCCTCAAACCTAAGGCTCCATTCATGCTGGGCTGGAATTATATCCCCAGCCTAGTTTGGGGGTTTTGGGGTTCTTTTTTGTTTTTATTTAATGTGTATGGGTGTTTTGTCTGCTGTATGCCCATATACCATGTGTATACAGGTTCTGATGGAAGCCAGAATGGGGGTCAGACCCTCTGGAGCTGGAGGTATAGATGGTTGTGAGGTACCACGAGGTTGCTGGGAATGGAACCCGGGTCCCCTAGAAAAGCAAGTGCTCTTAACCACTGAGCCATCTCTCTGGGCTCTCTGCCACCCACAGTTTTAATATTATTTACAAAAGAATGATGTACAGATGGATGAAATGAGAAGCAAAGAGAGAAGAAGCCCAGTGGGCTGGAGGGATGCTCAGTGGTTAGAGCACCTGCTGTTGCAAAGGATCCAGGTTTGGTTTCCGGCACCCACATGAAGGCTCACCACCTGCTTAGGCACCAGACGTGCATGTGGTAAACAGATGCACATGCAGGCAAAGGACACATACACGAAAAATAATAAATATAAGTCTAGGAAAAGCTCCGAGAGAGCGGGCAGAAGAGAAACAAATTGCCAGCAAGGAGACTAGAATAAAGTCCAACAGTTAAGATGGATGTCTAATTCTTTAACGATAGAATTGTCAAAATAAATAAATAAATAAAACAACCAAACCCACTTTGTTGTCTTCCAGAAAACCTTCTACAGCAGTGGTTCTCAACCTTCCTAATACTGTGACCCTTTAATACAGTTCCTCATGTGTGGTGACCACCCCCAACCATAAAACTATCTTGTTGCTACTTCATAGCTGTAATTTTGCTACTCGTATGAATGGGAATGTGTTTTTCAATGGCCTTGGGTGACCCCTGTGCAGGGTTGTCCAACCCTCAGGTTGAAAACCACTGTTCTAGAGGGAAGAGAAGAAACCAAACTACAAAGGGAGTTTACTCAAACAGACAAAGCTGAGTTAAGATATTCTCTTTCAGGTCTCAAGCCAGCTGTGGTGTATCTTAGCAAGAAGAACAGCTGTGCTCCAGAACTTCCAAACAAGCCTGGGTAGCCAGGCAAGACCTTGTCTCAGGCATCTAAAAAGAAAATTAACTCAGGACACCTCAATAACCAGAGTGGACTTCCAGATGAGGTGTTTTATGCAGAGCCCTCCCACACCAGGCACCCGCAGAAGGTCCAACCAGACATTAGCTGGAAATCATATGATCAAAATAAGGGAACTATTTAGAGTGCTCTTTAACTCTAAAACTCTCGGAGTCTTGCCCTGTTTCCTTTACAATGTCTTTACAAAGATGGAACAAGATGCATGTCACACCATAGTCCAGGCTGGCCTGCAGCTCACTATACAGCCCAGACGAGTCATGACATGGTGGCAATCCTCCTGCCTTACTCTCCCAGTGCTGGGAGTGAGTCACCTGCCTGGCACGGAACAAATAGACCCAGGTTTAAGTTCTCGATGTACTTACAAAACCTGTGACCTCGAGCAAATCACTGAGCCTTTCTGTGCCTGATTTAATTAACCTGCAGCCACAGGGTTATTGTAAGAATTAAATGAAATAATGCAACTTTAAATTCTGTTTAGAACAAGATAATAGATGACTTTACAAATAAAGTAGCCTTGACATAAGCACCAAGAGAACTGGCGCTTGGGTTGGGGCTGAGTGTCAGTTGGGAGAGTGCTTGATTATGTGTTAGGGAGGCAGAGGCAGGTGGATCTCTGAGAGGTTGAGGCTAGCCAGAGATCCATAGTGAAATCCTATTTAAAAAAAAAAAAAAAAGTTTGAAGTCATCCTTGACTACATAACAAGTTTGAAGCCAGTCTGGGATACATTCAACCTTGCCACCCCCCCCCAAAAGTTTCTTTGGATTCTTAAGATATCATATAATTATTTAGGTATTCTTATTTATCTATGACTTGCAGTCATGTATCCATCTGGGTAGTCTCAAATCCTGTAGTCTATTTAACATTTTTCCCCTTTCTAAACTAACATTCCTTAGGGAAAAACAAGAAAGAAGGGGGTAGATGAAGGAAAAGACAAATTGACAAAGTGGAGAGTCTGACAGGAGATTAAGAAAACTCATGATTTGTATTCCTGGCTGAGCCCTTACAGCCCTGAAAGTCTGTAAAGCCAGAGGTGAAAGAACAGAGAGATGGAGTCGAGGCCTTGCCTCCTTCCGTCCCCTGGGCTTTCGGGCTGCCAGTGTTGGGTATCAGGTCATCTAGAGTAAAACAAACAAAGGACAAACACCACTGGTTTCCTACTAGTACCAGGAAGAAGAGGGTGGGAAAGGGGCAGGTAGCCGATGACCTCACTTGCAGAACTCCCGAGCCAAGCCCTACCTTACTGCTCCTCCTGGGCCCAACTGTCTTTATCCTTGTACCCACCAGAGTTTGGACTGTTTGTAGGGCAAGAGTTTATAAGAGATTTTCTTCTTTCCATCCAAGAACTGAGAAGGGCGTGTGTGTGTGTGTGTGTGTGTGTGTGTGTGTGTGTGTGTGTGTAGGGACAGATTGTTATCAGAATACCAGGTGAAAGGTTATAAACAGCCTGTCCAGGAGGCAGCCAATTCAGAACATGCCTTGGCTATAGGCCCAGGAAGCAGCTGCCACTGCCAAACTTAAACAGATTTTTGGCCTAACACAGAACAAACAAGTGGTCTGAACTGAGTGTTGCAAAAAAAAAAAAAAAAAAAAAAAAGGATAAGAAAAGACAGTCACACAGGCTAAACTATCCACAGCATTGTTTTTGCTTTTGGTTTTTGTTTGTTTGTTGGTTTTTTTTAAGACAGGGTTTCTTTGTGCAACAGTCCTGGTTGTCCTGGAACTCCACTCAGTAGACTAGGCTGGCCTTAAACTCAGAGATCCACCTGCCTCTGCTTCCCAAGTGCTGGGATTAAAGGCCTGTGCCACCACTGCCCTGAACACAGGATTGTTTTAAAAAAAATTTAGTACTCCATAGACAATCTCAAATACCAGCATTAAGTTTTCTCTAAGAAGTCCGTAGTCAACACCCTGGGACCCGGTAACAGCCACCTCTCCTCCTGTCTTCTGATCTCCTCAAATCTTAAACAACAACAACAATAATTGTTTACATTTCACTTATTTTGTGTTCTCTGGGAGTGAGCAGTCGGGTGGTCGGGGAGGTCAGGGTTGGTTCTCTCCTACTTGGGGGATTCTGGGGGTTGAACATACCACACTAGTTAACAATATCGATATATACACTTTTTGGTAAACATTTTGATGTTTTATAACAACAAGTTATTTTTTTTTCCAAGATGCCTACTACAGTTTGGAACTAAAATTAGTGAGAGTCCCACCTCCTTTGTTCTTAATCAATACTGTTAACTCAAGCCTAGTTACCTTTCTGGAACAAACACACACACCCTAAGGATCAACATGTTCCTAGGCTTTGGTGTTGTGTGTATGTTTTTCAATCCTGTGATGTCTAACTCTGAGCTTGCTTAACATTGAGGTTGAGTTGCAACTTGTTAGCCTTAGGATGTCAACCCAGTTAAGGCATGTGAGCAAGGGGAGGGTGCTGTTAAGAGCAGTGAACAGGTTACTAATTGTGCAGAAGGCAGAATTTCATATATGCAAAGGCTTTTTGCTTCCCCATCTTAAATTCAGGACCATTGTCTTCATTTTCCAGCACAAGGAACAAAACAACAATCTCCTAGTAACTCTGCCTAAATATGGAAGGAGTCTAGCATTCAAAGACAAGGCGGGGCGGGGGTGGGGGGGTGATCCCTCTTCTACACAAACATTTTCTTAGCACATTCAAGAGTTATTTCTTGAGTCAGCACCTGGAGGCACCTCTGTCAGTTTGGTTTACCAGATAGCCAAGTGAAGCCAATACAACCTGGGCAACAGGCTTAGGGATATGCATTTCATTTAGTGAGTCTGGAGAGATGATGAAGACAAAAAAAAAAAGTGACAGGAACTCTGGAACAAAGTCAGGAGTGATGGATCTTTTCCTTCTTTCCTTCCTTTATTTATTTATTGTACCCACCCCTTGTTTCCTGGAGAAACAGGGACGGAGGGAGACCTCAGTGTGAAGTACACACCTCATTAAAGCAGCTATGAGGTAAATGAGGGAACATATACAAAGTGTTCCCCAATTTCACAGGTAGACTGAAGAGACTTGGGGAAAAGCAACAGGATGTGGACACTCCCTTACTGCTTCCGTTCTAGAGAACAGAGAACAGAAGAGAGTGCACACGGGTGAGGGACAGTCCATAGGGGCGTGAGGGGAAGGGGGCACCCCAGAACAAGGTCTCGGCTTTCCCATGAGGACTTCTGAAAGGGGGCTTAAAATATCTGACACACGCGTTTTGTTCTTCAGTAGACATGCAACGGGAAGACACCGGGTGGGCTTTCTCTAACACAGCCGCACCCTCACCCTCCACCCAATGCTGAAGAACCCTTGGGGCAATGGGATTGTTTTTCACAGACTTGGCGAATTTGGAAGCCAGGAATAAACAGTCGCCTCGAAATGAATTGCGCTGGCTAAGAGGGGGCATGAAATCCTCTCCTAAGCACATTTTCCTTCTCCTAAAAAAAGAAAAAAAAAAAAATCACACCCAAACAACCCTGCTCCCAGGCCGAGTCCCTGGATGGGGTTCAGGGTCGCCGGGCCAGGGCCTTCCAAGGGGGGCCCTCCCGCCGCCCCGAGCCCCGCCCGCCCGTCCTCCCGGCGAGGCTGCGCACCCGAACAACAACCGTTTTCCCCGCTAGAGCACACCGTGTCCACGCGCCCCTGCGGCCGCGCGGATTGGTCGGAGGCCTGGTAAACAAGGGCCAGGCAGCCAATGGGAGGACTGTGCACGAGGGCTGCACGAGCCTCTGAGCCAGGGCTCGCGTGGGGCTCCTAGCCCGGCAGCTATATAAAGGCGTTTCCGGCTCCCGATTGACACTCGCCACCCCTCATCTCGTGGGTTTCCTGGGCTCATCCGGCTGCTGGAGCAAAGAGACAGCCGCCGCTGCTTTCCTCTTGAAAGCCTTGGGCACAGCCAGCAGGGTCGAAGCTCTCAGGCACCGTTTCGAGAAGTTGTTGGGGTTTTGTTAAAGGGCTCCTTTAGCTTTTCGTTTGGGTTTTTTCAAGCCCTGTCTGCCTTCCGGAGAGTGAACTCTTCATCTGCTGTGAAGGGCTCTTACGAGTTTTCTCTCCCGCCTCCGTTTATCTGGAACCCGCTGAACCCAATCATGGTGATGTTCAAGAAGATCAAGTCTTTTGAGGTGGTCTTCAACGACCCCGAGAAGGTGTACGGCAGCGGGGAGAAGGTGGCCGGCCGGGTGATAGTGGAAGTGTGTGAAGTTACTCGGATCAAAGCCGTCAGGATCCTGGCTTGCGGAGTGGCCAAGGTCCTGTGGATGCAAGGGTCTCAGCAGTGCAAACAGACCTTGGACTACCTGCGTTATGAAGACACGCTCCTCCTAGAAGACCAGCCAACAGGTACAGACACAGATAGCTCCAGCTGTTCTTCCTCGCACGGGCGCTTTGACAAGGGGAGGCACGGGAGCCTCCAGCAAGGGTTTGGAGTTGAGTCGTTCGTTTAATAGTTTGAATTGTGTTGGTTCCGATACTTTTAAGTTTTAATTTGCAAGTATTTCACCAACCCCTCCCCCACCCCCGCAGGGGTGATTTGTAGTTTCTGAGGTGCTGTTTGCTAAGGTGAAGCCTTAGCTACTTAAAGATTAATGTATTCGCGGTCTGTACCCGATTCCTGGGGCAACCGTGCTGGATGGGCCTTTTCGTAGTTGTGGGCTTGGCTCTGCAACTTTCTGTCCAAGAAAGTGCACTGGAATCTTTTATTCCACCGTGCAAGAGATGGACGTGGAAGTAAAATAACCTTGTCTGCTGCCCAGTTTTCACAGATGCCTTTGAAATGTAATAGGGAACCTAATGGACCCTTGCCTTTGTTTCCCCGCAGGTGAGAACGAGATGGTGATCATGAGACCTGGAAACAAATACGAGTACAAGTTTGGCTTTGAACTTCCTCAAGGGTAGGCATCTACCAAATGCACCTTGGACTCTGTTTCTAAAAGCCCCACCCCCATTGACCTCTTACTGTTCTTAGAGAGCATTAATTTTTTTTTCATTGTTTTGTCACAGGCCCCTGGGAACATCTTTCAAAGGAAAATACGGTTGTGTCGACTACTGGGTGAAGGCTTTCCTTGATCGCCCCAGCCAGCCGACTCAGGAGGCAAAGAAAAACTTTGAAGTGATGGATCTAGTGGATGTCAATACCCCTGATTTAATGGTGAGATTTAGTTCTCCTTGTTTGGGGATAACAAATTAGATGCTTGGGGCATGGAAATAACTCAAAACATTGTGTCCTCCTACACAGGCACCGGTATCCGCTAAAAAGGAGAAGAAAGTTTCCTGCATGTTCATCCCTGATGGGCGTGTGTCCGTCTCTGCTCGAATTGAAAGGAAAGGATTCTGTGAAGGTAATATCCTCATGCTTAAAATGTAGCCAGGGTGGCCAGAGCCGTGGGCTTGGAGGGGGGCATGGAGGAGAGGAAGTGCCGTTAAGTAAACGGATGTTCATCCCTCTTCATCTTGAATCCCAGGTGATGACATCTCCATCCATGCCGACTTCGAGAACACATGTTCCCGGATTGTGGTCCCCAAAGCAGCTATTGTGGCTCGGCACACTTACCTTGCCAATGGCCAGACCAAAGTGTTAACGCAGAAGCTATCCTCAGTCAGAGGCAATCACATCATCTCGGGGACCTGCGCCTCGTGGCGAGGCAAGAGCCTCCGTGTGCAGAAGATCAGGCCATCCATCCTGGGCTGCCACATCCTGCGCGTGGAGTATTCCCTGCTGGTGAGTGTCATGGCGGCTTGGTCCTAGAAGAGAAACAATTCTTGTGTTACAAATTGAGTGCTTTCTCTACACAACCCTTCTGACAAACTGCCACCTTGCTTTACAGATCTATGTTAGTGTTCCTGGCTCCAAGAAAGTCATCCTTGACCTTCCCCTGGTGATTGGCAGCAGGTCAGGTCTGAGCAGCAGGACTTCCAGCATGGCCAGCCGAACGAGCTCTGAAATGAGCTGGATAGATCTAAACATCCCAGATACCCCAGAAGGTGGGTATCTTGCTTTCTTTGGGCCTGACGGGGCTTTGTGAAATTGTGGTGATCTGGCAGGTTTTGGCTGACTTTGTCATCCATTTTCTTTGTAGCCCCTCCTTGCTATATGGACATCATTCCTGAAGACCACCGACTAGAGAGCCCCACCACGCCTCTGCTAGATGACATGGACGGTGCTCAGGACAGCCCTATCTTTATGTATGCCCCCGAGTTCCAGTTCATGCCTCCACCCACCTACACTGAGGTGAGATGTGCGATTTTTTTTTTTTTTTTTTTTGACAGTTTGTCTCAGTTTGTCCTGAAGGAAGAAAGAGTTATTAAACTCATGGCTTTTCTACTACTTAACCTAAAAAACTAAAATGCTGTTTTCCCTCTTCCTCCCCCAGGTGGATCCCTGCACTGTTAACAATAACAACAACAACAACAACAACAACAACGTGCAGTGAGCCCGTGGGAGAAGAGATGCGTCTATACTCACTCATTTCTTTCCCCTCTCTGCTTGGACGCCAGTGTTTCAGAGACTTAGTCTGAAAGTGGAGAACGGGTTCACCCCAGCCTCTGACTCCACATCTGGGTGATCAACAGGCGGGTCCCTGGCTTCAAGTGGCGCAGACACAGCCAGTGCCCGCCCTGTGGTGTAGGAGCGTTTGCTGGGTGGATAGAAGAACACTCTAAAAAATTCAGACCCCGTCCACTTTCTCTCAGATCTTGGAAATGAAGACATTGTCCGCAGTTTTTGAGTCGGTGTGAATGACCTTCTGGCATGGTCTTTACAAGGTTTTTTTTTATTTGGAGGAGTTACAGGTTAACAGCAGACCATGCATTTCTGTGCCATGGGGGACAGAATCAGCTTCACATACTAGATAATCATGGCCAAAGTTTGGAAGAGGTGTTTTTTTATTAGTAATATTTTTTTAATCAGTGTTCCCTTTTTATAACCTTAAAAGGAAAATGAAAATCTTCCAAGGCTGTGTGGTTTAGGCTTGGGTGATGGTGGCCACCCTGTGACTTACAGGGTAGCTGCTCCCAGTGAACTTTAACCTAGGCTCAGAGCAGTCGTGGCTGCACCCACCAACAGCCATAAAAGCCATTTTACAGCCAGTTGCACTGTGTTCTCTTACAAACTTAATCAAATGGGAGAATCTGTTATTTCCGTGTGACTCCTTGGAATTGATTCTAAGGTGATGTTCTTAGCACTTTAGCTCCTGTCAATTTTGTTTTAATCTCGATTGCAGATGTAAACTCTACTACTATGTGTCTTAAGGGTTAAGCCCAATGACAGGGCAAAATGGATTTTTGTGTTTGGGTTTTTTTTTTTTTTTTTGAGATGGGGTCTCTCTATCCTTTGTTAGCCTGGAACTCTACATAGACCAGGCTGGCCTCGGAGATCCCTCTGTCTCTGCCTCCTGAGCGCTGAGATTGAAGGCTCATCTTGGTTATTACTTTTTGAGACTTTGTCCCAGTGTGCAAAATTGTGTAATTCTGATTCGAATATGAAGGGTTGCCGCCCTGTGTGTAAGCCTCTGCATTGAGATACCGCAGCGCTGATCAGGGTCTCCATGCGTTGCAATGAGAACTGCAGGTTTTCACGAAAGCCCCCAGACCCATGTTCTGCCCAGTGTTAGGAGAAAGGACTCTTAACTGCTTTCACTGTGGCCACTAGCACCTGATCAGTCACTTTCAGCCATAGCACTTTGTCCATTGTCCTGTGTCAGCACTGAGTTCCACCCTTTTCTGAGAACTATGCAATCAGAAAGCATGTGAGCTGATGGTGGTTTCATTTTTGTTGTTTTTGTATTTTGTGTATCCTTTTTGTATGACAAAAACTATATTTTGTACTTATCCAAATATATTTTCACCCCAAGGTGGGGATATCCTTTGTAAAAAAATAAAATAAAAATAAAGTTTTTTAATGGCAAAAATGTTTTTTTTTCTTGTCTGAAATATTAGAGAAGTTACTAGAAAACAGGTGTGCATACTAGTTTTCCCCTGCGTCACAATGCTGAAAACCCTGTGGAGAGAGCAGTCCCTATAGACCCTAAGTGACACTGGAGTTGAAGGGGAACAGCAGTCCGTCAGCTGTTTTGGCCTCCATCAAGGCTACATTGGTGGCATCTGGTGATGAAAGCTAATTAACCACATCCTGAAAATTCTTCAGACCTCCTCCGGTAGCTAAGGATTGGTTCAAGGTGCTGGGATCAAAGGCATATATTACCATACCCAGGTTTTTCTTTTAGAGCCTGCCTTGCAAGAGTGTGGGACCCGGAGACCAGGTCCTCGGGGTTTAAAGAAAGTCTACCAGCTGAGCCTTCTCAACATACAGTTCTCCATGCTCACTCAGTTTTATGAATTCTTGAAGAAATAGCCTTGAGGGGATTTGGAAAGGAAAGAGTGAGTTTCCTTTGTGTATTTATCTTTTAAACTGTGTGAGCAGCTTTTATTTACACAAAGGCGGCAGGAGGATCTGGGGAGAAGGGACTGGAGACTAACGTGAGGGAAATTAAATAGGTGTGACTCGGGTGGGAGGAAATCAATACTGGAGCCCAATGGATCCCCTTATGGTCCGTAATGTTCATCGGACACTGTAAATACAGAATGAGAATGGGTCAGGACTGGTAGAGGCCTCCATCCACCTACCCCAAGGATGGTTTGTGGGGATGGAGTTTTGGTTTTGTTTTGTTGAGACAAGTTCTCTGTAGCTCAGGCTAGCCTCAGCCTCCCAGACACTGGGGTCAGAATCATATACTACCATTCCTGACTGACATTCTTTCTTTCTTTCTTTCTTTCTTTCTTTCTTTCTTTCTTTCTTTTCTTTCTTTTTTTTTAGTTTTTCGAGACAGGGTTTCTCTGTGTAGCTTTGGAGGCTGTCCTGGAACTAGCTCTTGTAGACCAGACTGGTCTCGAACTCAAAGAGATCCGCCTGCCTCTGCCTCCCAGAGTGCTGGGATTAAAGGTGTGCGCCACCACCGCCCAGCTGTCATTCTCTTTCATAACTTGGTTTTTATTGTAGAAATTTCCCCCAATATCAACCTGGTTTGTATGCTGAAAAGAGTAACTGAGACTAAACAGTTTATTAGTTCCAGGTATCTTATGTTTTAGAGGTAGCTACAGTTTCCTATCTTTATAGTTCTTAACACAGAACTAGAATGGTTGTTGACTATTTAGCCCCACCCTTATTCCTGGGGACCTGTTTTGCTTTGGCCGTTTCACAGCTAACTGGAATCGTTTTGTTCCCGAAGAAGTCACACACTGAGAAACTGAGAGCGGTGGAGGATATCATACAGTTCTTCCTGGGTTTTGGTTCATCTAAGTGTTTTTGCTTTTCAAAATGGGTTTTCCATTGGCTCTCTATATATCAATACAGTCCTTGAAGCCCTGTATGAGATACCAAGGCAAAGCCTGCTGCATGGGGGGCATACCTAAAACCCAGCATTTGAGAGGCAGAGGCAGAAGGATTGCCAAAAATTGAAGGCAGCCTTGGCCACAAGCACCACTAGGGCTATGTAGCAAGAATGTGTAACCCCCCCCCCCATACAAACCAAAGCCACGAGAAACCTGTGAACACTGAGCTGAACAGCACGTGAAAGTGAACACACGAAACTTTTTCTACTCCAGCAATTGGTCTTAATTCTGTGTTCTTACCTTTCTGTCTCACTTAAAAATTATCAACTGTGGAGCTGGCTCTCTCCTTCCACCCTAATATGATCAAACACAGGTCACGAAGCACACACAGCTGGGGGCCTCTATTCACAGCCTTTGATACAGGGTTTCATTTAGCCTAGGCAGTGTCGTGAGGATGACCTTGAATTTCTGATCCTCTTGCTTCCACCTTCCTGGTGCTGGAATTATAGGCATGCCAGTGTTACCACGCCCCCACATACGCCAGGGACTGTTCTGCCTCCTTTCTGTCTGTTTACAATGTGCCAGTACCTAGCTCTCCCTGTTATCAAGACTCTCACCTGAAGTCCGCCCCGGTTTCTCACCTGTTCAAACATTTAGTGGCTCCTCCCCTTTAAATTTATGATCAGGAAAGTAGGTCAAAGTTGACAGAAAAGTTTTTTTTTGGTTTTTTTTTTTTTTTTTTTTTTTTTTTTTTT